TGATCTATCGAGTTGGAAATATTTCGTAATTTTTTTTAATAGGCCCTGTAACACTTTTGCTAGCGAACGCTGAATTTTTGCAGTTCTGATCGAGATCTTGTGGTAATAGCAGGTGTCAAAGTTTCAATTTCGTCATTATGATATTTTATTTGGGTGTTGTTTGCATTGTTATCTTTGCTTTGTGCGAGTCTACTTCTGGCAGATGTAAGTATTTTTGAGTAAAATAATTCACGATGGCATACTGGGAAAGCTTTAAATAAGTTTCTATGTGTTCACTAGGGACGGATTTTTGACGAGAGTGTAGATGGCTGTTTAAATATTTCATATTTAACATTTACACTGTTTTGTTAACTTTTGGTTTATAAAAGTGCTGTTAGTAAGTAAGACAAAGTGTAAAATACATATATTAATTCAATGAGATATGGTGAAGAAGGTCCTCCATGAATACAGCGGGTACACAAACGGGTTCCCTTTGATTATATATTTGTCTAGATAGAGTGTTGCGCTACAATTGTCAAAAAATTACAGGCTAGGTTTGAAATTCTCGTGTGCGTGTAGGTGAGCAATAGTGTACGGGTGTACTGTTATTACAGGCACAAGTTGCATCATGTTAATAACACCAGTTCCTTGAATATTTCCCACAAAAGTGGATAAGAAATGTATTTTTAATGGATCGATTAATTATTATAGCTATTAATGAACCTGATAATGAAATAAAATAATAACACAGATTTTATGGAAAATACTAATTTTAAAAAATTCCAAAGCAACATTAAAATTAAAACTTTTACCTTGAAATGTGATACATGACTTACAAAGAGTAAGAGCTTATTTGCATGCAGTCAATAAGCTTGAAGTACGTGCCTAACATAATTACAGATACTAGAATACTAGAGCATAAAAATAATCATACTTATACGACAGCGAGCTAAAGTCTCTTTTTCCATTTTGAAAACTCGATACGTTCACAGAATTACCTTTGTACCTGCTAAGTGCGATTTAGATAAAATACTGCATATTGCTTGCTAGCGAATTCTAATGATACCATGTGAGCAACAAATAATTTTTACTATTTTTCATATTAGAATGCGTTCTTATTCAGTAAAAAACCATATTTTTGACATCATAACACTGATTATTAAAATTAGACAGTGTTATTAATAAACAAAGTTTAGCGTTGGAGTAAATTTAGACTGTACTTACTATTAGTCAAAATTCATATTATTAAACAGAGACATAGCAAAGGCTAAAATAGTACGAGGTTCTAAGGGAGTATATTTACTCCTAGAAGGTAGTAGGTTTGCCTTTTTCTCTGTATTAGGGCATTAGCCAAGCGCCCAATTACGCTAAAATTATAATTTTAGTATTAACTTAAATTACAATTTTAGCGTTAATTTACTCTGACTCTAAACCTTGTTTATGCAACTAGCAACTGACTGGGACGTCGGTTTCGTTCATCTCTGAGGTCCTGAGCACACTCCCCGATCAAGTAATTGTAGAAAATTAACTTTTCTATCTTGTTTTGAGTCTAGATTACTCTAGGTTACTACTTAATTAGGGATATGAGAAATGTATGCAATGTTATGTAAAAAAAGGCCACCTCGAGAAGCAGTCGAATATTTTTACATAATTTGTTTTATCTGTGCTCGTGGAAGAAAATAGGGCCATGATAAATTTTGTGGCCTAAACGTATAAGGCATAGTAATACATACGTATCCGAGATAAGTTTTTAGACTATTTAGTCTTGCACATACTTCTTTTATAGTTTACGAATTCTCAATAGTTAGAATTATATTTATTATATGTGGAAAAAAAAATTGTGTGGTTTATTTCTCTGCTATTGATGCATATTATTGCCATTTGTTGGTCTTCAATATTATTCCATATTTAAGTATCTAGTGTAATTATTGTTTATTACAACTCAGCATGTTGAGAATCTGATAAATTAAGAAACTACAGACTTGGACAGACCACAGATTTCTTCCTGTTAAAAGTTTTTTGTTTTGATCTTGGACAAATGTTTGACGGTTAGCGACAGGCGTTATATATATTTACTTTGAGGAATTAGAGCTACAGTGTTTGTATTAAAATTTGTCAGCCAATTTTTACTTTTTTGAATCCTTGGGATTAAGATCTTTCATCATGTTTTCCACGTTAATTGTTTCGCTTATAATTCATATAAATGACTAATTTTATCAAAGATCCTCAAACTTCTATGTATGCAAAACAGTATAATGAGCACAAACTTGTACATAAATATTTAGTTGGCATAAATAAAAAAAGTCGGTTAAGTACGCATCTTCAGGGATCCGTACTTTATCTGAAATTCCAAAAAAAAAACATATGATACCTGACTTGAACCAATGGTTAATTCAGTACAGGAAAATAAATACATATTATTTTTTTCTAGTAGTATTTATTATACTATTACTTATACTCACACTATCCTGCTTATTTTATTTCTAATATTATTTAAATTAATTATGAAAAAACACTTACTTTATAAATGTTGTCACGTGGCTGCAAACAGCGCGTGACGTCACAGTCCTCTAAGGAAGATGTCAAATTTGACTTTGACATTGACATACAAGATGTTTGTTGTTGTTATTGTTTATGTTAGAATCGTCACATCGACGCCATGACAAGTTTTAATTTAATATATGAGAGATATTTTTATTATATTTCAAGTATATAACATAAAAATATAAAAAATCGTCTAGACCTATATATTTAATTATTTAATTTAAGATTTTCTTTGAACTTGTACTATAAAACAATGCTACTTATCTAATTTCATAGTTCTAATTCAAAGGAAAGTACCCAATCAATTTTGATTCCCTTAAGACAAAATATGCATTTTTCATGGTAATAATGGCCGTTTTCTTATTCATAGCTTCAAGGGACTGTAGAAATGTGTAAATGCTTTTAATTTCAACTCAATTTCCTCAAGGTTTCCTGAAAATCTTAACAAACCGATAGATGATCGAGTGATCATCTATGATCTCCATCATCATCATCATCATTTCAGCCGAGAGACGCCCACTGCTGGGCATAGGCCTCCCCCAAAGATCTCCAAAACGATCGGTCCTGCGCTTCCCGCATCTCCATACTTTTTCTTACTTTACTTGAGATATAGAACCCTAAAACCAAGATTTTCTAAGTCGACGACCTTAATACGAGTAGGGGAACGTTTTATTCAGATTAATTCATAACCGTCGTATGATTCCGGAGTAACAAGCCAGAAACGCGCTCGTAATGAGTACTTTAGAGTTTTTTAAAGACCGAGTATATTTTTTCTGAATAGGAACTTTTTCAGATTTATTTTTACTTTTAATTTGATATACGCAATGCCTATTGTGAGATTTTCATTATGAGAGTTTCTTATTTTTTTTTTTGTAATTAAACTGCTGGTTAGAATTTAAAATGAAACTATTTTTTTTTTCTGCGACTTCGTCCGCGTTAAATAAAGCCTAAGTCACGCGCATACATCATTTTTAAAATCGGTTCAATAGTTTCGGAGCTTATTCAATGCAAACAAATATTTTTACCTCTTTATGAATATACGAGTAATTATATATATAAGGAAAGGAAAGATTTATTTTTGTTATATGAATATGTAGATTATATAATTTTCAAAAATTAAATTATTATGTAAGTCACCCAAAACGTGCTTAAATATAACTTGTTATCTTTGTAACGTTAAGTAATATTTTTTTATTTAAAATAATGCTACAATTTTGTTTACTTTGGATTTTTTAAGCATTTTTCAATGAGAACTTTTTATAGTATAGCATTGTTTATGCAAAATTAATCAAATAGAATACTTTTAATATATTTATTAATGTGATATATTTATCACTTCAAATTTTTATGTATGATATCAAATGTAAACAAGAAAAATATTTTATTAGATATTAATGTTGAAATAAAAAAGATTGACTTGAGCTTTATATTGAAGCTTAATTTCTTTAGAGTTTAAAAAGTAAAAAAACCAAATAATTTTTAAAACTTAAAATAATATTAGCTAAAAGGGTATGAGGATAATTTAGATACAAAGTTACCTTTATAATTTTATCTACGAAATGCCCTTCCATTTCGAAGATAAAATTAAAACACAAAGTTATTAAAACAAAACAAAATTCTCTTATTTAGATACGAAGAATTCGTTAAGGTCGGATTAGGCCTACGTGCGTTCGACACAAGGTTCAATTTATTACACATACTTAAGACATTCGAAATTCGAATGATTAGTTTATAAAAGGTCGTCACTAGAAGGGTGTCTATATTCTACAGTTGCTATTATGACGCGATGCGTTCCGCTTGCGTCTGAGTGCTTGATGTCACTTTCAATCTTAACGTAAACCCTTGAAAGTGAAAACTATCAACTCTTTTTAAATCTACGTAGTTCAATATTAAAAAAAATGGTGTTTACCTTAAATCAATCAGTTTGAAATGAAATTATGAAAATTTGCATAATCGCTATCGTCAAGTAATCAGTGTTAATTTAGTTAATAACAAACTCTGTGTCACGACATGACGTGGTAAACGTGTAAATTACACTTGTTCTAGGTACTTGTACTATTTCGACACCCAATATTATAATTAGTTAACGATTATGAAACTCAACCCCGACTGGACTCATTGGATATGGTCAGTTGGTCGTGGCTAACCAGAAAGGTCGTTGCGTTACGCGATCGAAAAAAAATAAAAAAGAACACGACGATTCTTAATCAAACTTATTTGTTATTAAAAAAACCACGATCTCTTTGCCTGTCAGAATTAAGAATTTAAAAAAAGAACACCGTTGCTAAGTTTCAAGAAGATTCAAATAAGAATATCAGAATAATAGACAATTGTGTACAAAAAATATGGAATTAATAAAACTGTGTTACGTATCTATTATATTAACATTTTTAGTGTTCCATTGTGCGAAGATAGGTTCTGGACAACAGACTTCTTTCGAATTACCCGTTCAATTAGTTGGGTTCCCATTTATTATAATGGCTGTGCGGATCACCAATTTCGTGAAAAAACTGTCATACGCATTGGATCCAGGTAAAGTGATGAAATTAATTTATATTTAATATAAAATATTAATGATTTTACTAAATATGGATAAACTAAAATATAAAAAAAATTATAGAACCAAGAATAAATATGAATATTGTATCACATATAATACAAGTTTAAATGACATGACTTTATTTTACGTTGTAATTTGAAAACAACGATTTGGTGCTCATGTTAACACAATAGGTAGGACATTAAATGTTTCACGGTAGTTACTTGCACCATTTTTTCCGTAACGTATTGTAGACTTTAACCTCAATTTGGAAATGTCAATTTGAGTACAGCTTGAGTAAATTTGATTATCATATTAATTTTATATGATTATTTTGCAATGATTTTATAGTATTCTATTTATTTTTGATATACATCCTTAGTAAGTAGGTACAATATATTTATGTACGTGGAAAAAATATTTACAGGAGTTTTTTAATAGTTGGGCGTTAGTAGTCCCATTCTTTTCTATACGTATCATAATAATATAATTATTATAATATAATTATGATACGTATAATAAATAGACATTAAAATCCATTAATCCAACTGTAATGTCATTTCGTCAACGAAAATACCATTACCTTAGAAATAATAGTTTTAATTTACTGACGCTATTTCTAGTAAGAGATATCAAAACATTAGATTATAATTGAAGTACCAATAACATGTATTCACAAAAAACCTTGTAATGTAGTAGAAAGGAGTTTAAATTGTATATACATACAAACTTGCTGAGTTTCTTGTTGTTTCTTCAAGGTCTATCTAAGTAGGACTTGCATGATAGTAAAGTAGCTAACAAGACATACAAACAAACAATGCGTTGTACATGCATAAATTATATACAGTCAACATTGTACCCAACTGTTAAACTTTTCCAATCAATTTTAAAAGTTAAGTGGGGCGAAAATCATAAAGTCAACTTTGTCTGTCTCATTTTGATCAGTCATAAGATAGACAAGGACAGACACTAGTAAATTGTTTGGCAATAATTATTTTTAATCAATAAGTGTTGCACAATTCCCTCGGCCACCAAGTAATTCATTAATTTTCGTGCAAAAAGGGTTACGATCACGACAAAAAAATGGAAAAGTATTGAGAAGTTTATGAGTGAAAAGTAATGCGATGCTACGAGCCTAAATGTATAATTTTAACTTAAAGTAATCCATAAGAATCACAAATTAGCGCCATCTATCGACAGTAACGTTAATTGACTGTAGTATAACAATTATTGTGGAAAAATCGGAATATACTGCGGGAGCTTACGGTTTTGCCTCATAATAATAAGACATCAACGAGCTACAACGAATGCTGAGTGATCTGGCTCATAAATGTTTCAGACGCTCTTATTAAAGCGAGAGGACCCCCTCTAGCAACCCACTCCGACTGATGTGATGCATTAAATCAAAGTTAATAATAACGTCTCTTGTGACATTTGAACTTATAATAAAGGTGCGTATTCCTAAGAGTTTGTCGTAAAATAACAGATTAATCGTAAAATAACAGATTGTCGTAAAAGACAGAACCTTTATGGTTTGAAAAGAGACACAAATTAAATATATATATCAATTTAGGTATCAAATATTTCATAATGGAACGCGTACGATTAGCGATTGCCGAAGTTCAGTGACTGTCGCATAGGTTAGTCTTAGGATGGGTGACCGTTTTTTAGATCAGTTCTCTCTACGAGATTCTAAGCTCATATCTGATGACGATATCGATATCGATGTTTTTAATTTTTCATCATCAGCCCTTTTACGTTCCCACTGCAGGGGCTCAGGCCTTATGGATGGTTAAGGAGAATGGGCCATGACCCTCCACGCTCCACTCCATGACAACTTGAGTCTGTTTTAAGTTACTTCTTTCTTATATTTTCAAGCACACAACTCATCACATAAAACGTAAAAGGTTGTTATTTGATAATTTCATATTAGAAATTTTGTTTTTCTACTCACCGAAGAGCATTACACTTTTACCTTGAAAATTCGAACGTGAATTAAAATATACGATTTGCGTAAGCGAAGCGTCGCGATCTATGGAACATTGCATAATAGTCCGACTGACCAACAGACAGACAAGATTAAAGTCGGTCGACAAGAGGTGTTGCATTACGTTCCCTGTCACGTAGACACAGTTTTTGCAGTGTTCTCATAGCCGTTCAACGAGCTAGTGAGAGATTACGCATAAGCGCGTTGAAAGGAACGTGGACGCGCGAATCAAAACTGAATTTTAAACAATCGTTCAGTTTGTGTTTGTGACTTAAGTTTTATTTCAATTATTTAAAATTATTTGTGTTAAAGAAACTCTTTTGACTAAGAATAACTGTAAAAGCTTTTTGTTGGAGAAAATGAATTTAAATACACTGTCTTTTACGATTTTGTCAGTGTTGCTACTTTTTAACTGTGCAGAAGTACTAAGTCAGGAGACTTTACTGGAGTTACCGGTGCAATTAGTAGGATTCCCATTCATAATAACGAGTGTGAAACTAACAAATTTCTTGAAGAAACTTTCTTACTCTTTAAGTCCAGGTACAGTTGATTAAAAATTACTTTATTTATAGCTTCAATTAAGTAATAAGAAATAATGGTTAATAATAAATAATCGCTTTATATAAGATTATTCAAAGTGACAAAACTATCATATTTCTAAGGATTCTGTCACAGTGAAAATGGTGAATGTATAGAAAAAAAAACAATGAATTTTTTGTGTTCTTTTCTCATAATTTTACTCTTTATTCGCGAATAAATGATTAATATACGAATCTTTTTATTGTCGAGGGCTATAAACAACACTTTTAAAATAATCGCAATAGTTTACGAGCAATTAATAAAAATAGTTTTTGAATTCGCCATTTTACTATTATCTCTACTGAATGCAATAGGCTTTGGAAATTCTTGTATGTGTTATCACACAGAAAACAAGTTAACCTTATATCCAAACGCATGATATGACGGATAAATGAAAGGTTCTAGTGAATACGTCATTGCACCTTTCTCAATGCTTGTTTCTGTTTATTAATTTTTCAAAGTAAAATTTATAAAAAAAAATATATATATTTTGATTCCACACTGGAACACTGGATATTTCGAAATGGATGAGAAAAGATAGATAGAGACACTCTTTTGTCTTTTCACCTAACCTTAATGCCAAAAAGGCATTTTCCACCATTCTATCGGTAACAATATAACATGTTAAATCTACCGTGATGAAAATAAAAAAAAAAATCTAACGCACTGCGCAAACATTCTTTTATTACTGCAGTTGACCAAACTGGCTTGATGTATGGGTACTCGTAAATTCTGACATGTGACAAGTAGTTCTAAGGTTGTGGATATGATACAGCAAGCCTACTCGGATATTTTTATTTGTTTTTCCATATATGTTGCAACTATATCGCTAATCTATATAGGGTAAACGGCGTGGTAAAAGTGCATCGTCTTCATGGGAGGGTTGTAGTGAGTAGGCTATTGAATTTGGACTTTTCCATAGGGTAGAAACCAACATAACTTCTTCCTCCAAATAATATCTATGAAGCCATAAGAACACCTCTTTCTATTTTTGCCTAATATTTATATTTTCAAATTAGGTGTGAGATTATTATGTGCCAGAACTTCGTGGGGTATATTATTTAAGCACACTGAACAACTTTTACTGTGGGAGCAACACTGAATTCGTGAAAAAATTATCAGCTGTTCTATACATAGTTGTAATACTTACTATCGTCAACAGTATAAAACAGCTGATTATTTTTTCGTGTATTCAGTGTTGATCGTATATTAAAAGTTAGTTAGGTATACTGAACATATCCACCCCATGAAGTCCTGGCACATATTAATATTCCACAATAGATTTGTTCTTGTGAATTTTGTTTATTTTGAATGAATGATAATAATTTGTTCATAAATAACGTTGTTCCAAATATGTAATGACAAAAAGAAATAGACAATCAGAATTGGTAGACCATCCGCTTCTGCTATCGCACCGCTTACCACCAACATACCAATTTATGGACTCATGAACCGCATAGTTGCGACCCGTATTGCTACACATAGGTGAAAACATATAAGTGAAATATATTGTTCTATAGACAGAGACTGCTAGCTTAGTGAAAAGTTTCATCAATAAATTACCATAAACACGATTACATCTATAATGCACAATAGAAAAAAACCCGAATCAGTACTAAAAACAAAATAAAAATTGAAAAGAAAAATGAATTTGTATTCACAGCAGATTACAACTTATACCTTTTTGTAATTAATTATGCGAGAGCAATAGTTATAAGAATGTTTTATGATTATAACAATTATGTTAATGACAGATTATTTGGATGTCTCTTGGGTACAAGACTGATTGAAAAATAGTATTTTTTGGTGTATACACCCTCTTATGTTCGCCATATTTGTAATATAGCCAATGGAGAATGTATATTCCACCTATTTTACAACCAGAAACTAACTAACCAGTATAATAAATATTCATGAGATCTATTACAAAACAAAAAAAATACGTTTCTTTACGCATTAACTGTTGCTATAATCCCACTTTTTTTAAATTACATAAATGAACATATATAAAAGGCATGCTATTATTTTATAATCTGGTAGCTATTCCTATTTCTTATTAGAACGTTTTTGTTTGAATATATATAATTTCACAATACGCAAACCATAAACAACACAATAGATAGACTTAAAAACTGCAGGATCTAGTATATAGTAGGTAATATTTGTGGCTAACATAAAACCCACACGGATCTCGAGTATTTTTGTTTAAGGAAAAGTGACTTAGTCTTTTGTATTGTTTCAAAAGACTAAGTCACTTTTTTTCTTCCTTCCTTTTGTTTTTGTGCTCTTCATTTTTTCACTAAAATGTTGGTGTTTTAAACCTTTTAATGTCTTTGGAGTTTTTAAGTCAACCGAAAGATGTCAGAATACGGAGAAGTCTACAGTAAAGATGTGACCTGTTCACGTTCCTGCACTAAATTCACGGAACACATTCAACACACACGCAACGTATAATTTTATTATTTATAAAAATTACGTGTTCTTCGCTTTCATGATGCATAGTCTCGCCAAATAACTCCATGAATGAAACTCATTAACAATAACTATGCAACATAATTAAAGGATATGTTATAATTCTCGCCAAAACCACGTAATACTTTTGCAAACTTTGACGAAACTTGTAAAAATTTTTCATTAATTTATTTTCAGCTACATATCGGTCCCGGACGAGACGTGAACTGACCTTCGCGGGAGACTTGGCCGACCCGTTCGACGTGTCAGAAGTAGAGAAGTACATAGTCGGGGAGTTCGGCACACGTGCATGCGTTTTTGAGCGGGTGTGCGCACACTACGCAGCTAGAGCGAGGACCCATCCAAAACCGCAGATGGACTGGTCAGATGTGTTCAGGTAAAATAAAAAAATATAAAATAAAAACAATACGTGAAATTTTCATCTCGGGTTTAAAATTAGCCTCTCGGGTATTGAATTTTTTTACCGGCAAGAAGTTATCTAAATTCTAGAAAAAGTAGAAGTCTGTAGGCGCAAGGTCTGGTGAGTACGGCGGATGATGGAGAACTTCCAACTTGTCACAAGTAACAATGCAGTTTAGGATTTTCTGATTTATATGCCTGTTGAGCTCGGCAAGGCACGTCTCGACGCGTATTTCGCGCTCGCGATCATTGAGTTCGTGGGCAACCCATTTGTCAAGCTGTTTTATCTTGCCGATTTGGCGCAAATGGATATTGTTTTGATGCTAACGTCGAAAGCTGCTGCTAATTCAGCTGTAGATTTAGTTTCATCAGCTTCCACAGTCGCCTTTAATTCGTCATTGTCGACCAAAGCTTTCGGACCACGGGGGACGAAGCGGGCAAACGCAACGGGTGGTGCGTTCGTTCGTAGTGTTCGCTCCGTAAACGTCGTTGATGTTGCGTGCCGCTTTGCTGCCATGACGGTCCTCATACTCCATAATTACTCGAATTTGTAACTAATCCATAGCGACGAAAAATGTTCAAATGCGTTGAAAACAAAACACTAACTATTAAACATATGATAATTCTAGAAAAAAGAATTCCAGCATTTTAAAATAAAACTACTTTTAAAATACAATTTGAAATTAGAATTATCAACCAAAAAAATATTTTGATTGAAAGGTCCAGTACGGCAGAATGGCAATTTCTATGTCAAGACCTATTATTACGTATAACCTATTATTTCGACCTCTTCGTCTGCAGATGAGTCTGCAGGCGTTAACACCCACAAATCCGCACTTAGTCCATGTAATGGATTGTGTTAAGGCCAGTTCTCACTATTTCGATCATGATCATCCAGAACTCAATGTCTTAATTGCTCAGATATACATCTTCACTGTAGATAATAAGTAATCATCCAAAATGTTGGTCACCCATCCGATACCAGTCATTGCGCAAGCTGCTTGTCGCATAAGATATGAGATAAAGCGCTAACCACTACATCATCTAGCTTTTAATTGAAATGTTGCCTATGAAAGTAAACTCCAATACACATAAAGTTCAAAATTCACTAACTGTGGTCTATTCTAAAACTGAGTTATTCAACGTTCCAATAGCCAACTTTTAATCCTCTTTATTTTCTCGTTTGTGAATATCCGATATATCCAATAGTTTGTTTTTTTTTTTCATTCCCCATTTCCAATACTAAAATAAAAGTTGAAGCTGAAATGTGGGCGTAAAAAAAATCTTTTGTAGAAGCACATTGTATGTTGAGAATGTTTTGTTTGCGATGTTTTTATTTCAATTAATAATAGGAATGTTAATAATAACACTTATATTAATCTTATTTAAATCAGACAAACGTTCATTAAGGTTTGCTTCCACAAACGACTTGTGTAATGAATATCCTGTAGCAGTAATAAATATACCAAAATTGAAAATTTGTGTCGGTAATGTTATACTTATAACAATTTTAGTTGACCTTTGTGTAACGGACAGTCAGCCAGTTGCACAAACGTCCATTAATTTTTTCATTAGTTTATAGCGATATTACCCATATATATTGGATATTCATTAGAACTTAAAGACATTTGTGCAAATGACCGAGTATGTAACAGCATTAAAATTGTCATTAGATTAAATTGACACTATCCAAAACAGAATTTAAATTTTAGAACTTAAAGTCAGTTGCACAAAAATCAATTCAACCATAATGGATGTTTGTGCAACTGACCTTAGACTTGATAAAGGTTTCGCAAGCGCATATATTTGTCTAGAGATATCAATTTTATTTTTAAATAATTGCTCCAACACTAAGATTTTACTCTCTAAATAAATAAATACAAAAGTAACAGACAATTATGGGAAAGTCTAACCGGATATCTCTGTCTTGCAAAATAGTCACTACGCAGATTTGTTCTGTGTATATGTCAATTTCGGGTGAGCTTCCACTCTGTACGCATGCACGCACTGTTATACGGATTATACGGCTTTGCCAATGTCATACGTCCACTGCATCCGGATTCGTATATAAGTACCTATTGAGAGTTTTGATCATAACTCTACGAAAGATAATAGGATAATAAATAGCTCTATGGAAGTAATCCGTACGACGTCGACGGTAGACATCGCATTTCCTTGCTCATGTAATGCGTACAGCTTTTGTAGCCAGTACGGATAGTGGCCGGAGTGCTTTACAAATTCATACAAAGTTATGGATAATCCTTTGCGTACACAGACTTCTTTGTATACAGCTTGACAAAATGTTCTGAACTAAAATTGTGGCATAGTATGAGCGCGTTGTTTCGAGATGGCAATACAAACGACTAAATGACTGAACGAGTTTTCCAGTACCGAATAACATGTCTCGTAGTATACATTCTTGCGTACCGCACGTCCGTTGCGTGCGTGCGTACAGAGTGGACATTTCTTTACATTATATCGATGGATGTATAGTAACAAGAGATATTCATACATCAAGATCAGTGTTTCTACTAGTATAAAATATATATACTAGTAGAAAGTCTGCGATTCCATTTCCTTTTCCCATCACCTCTATACGATAAATAAACAATTTCTCTGAACTCCTTATACACGAAATATAAGCACGAATACGCCCGAATGCCTCATTCATACTTAATTGGACAATTACTAGGGTAGATATGGTAGGGTAGATATGTACTTGTACTTTATTTAAGTTTGATTGCTATAAAGTGCTTATTTACCTTAAAAATAAGTGATAATAGCAGCTCGATGGTCGAAATTCGCCAAAAACTAAACGTGAAGCGTGAACTGAAGATTTATTTAATTAAATATTTATAATAATCTTTATTGGCTATATAAACGATACAACGAAAATTTACACCAGAGATGCTTATAAATTTTTATTAATATCTATTCTTATCTGTTGATGAACTTGGTTTATACTTGACAAGAAAGGATTTCAATATTCTTCTTTTTGACTGACGTTTACTATAAAATTATTATTGTACTTTGATACAGTACAAAGGAGTAATGGACAATACAGTGGAATTATACGCCCACTTTACTCTTTACGGAACTTTACGCCCAGGTTACGGTAGCAAAAGCTCCAAGCCACTTGTTATGACTAATGTAGAGTTGTAAAGTTAGGGTTTGTGAGAACCTGGACTGTACGTAAGATATTTAAACTTTTTGACGATGCGAGCGATATGGTCTTGGTGACATTTTACATGAAATGCCTAATAAGGCCCAATGTGTATTGACCGCTAAAGTGCTAAAAATCATGTGATACATCTTCAAATTACATTAAATTGTCAGCTTGGTTTTAATGGGTTTTTTGTACTTTAACGGTTGAAAATAGTGGCCTTATTAGGCGACACCTTAGACAGGTAAGAATATTAATTTTATTAATATACGTACATGAAAGTGCTCGTTGGTAAAGCGGTTAGGGAGTACGGCCTGCGGTTACGGAGACAGGCAAATTTCGCAAAGGTTACCGACCGGATGGGTAACCAAGTACTTCGTGTCGTCCCTGGTAACAGTTGTTATCACCCACCAATTGGGTAGGTAATGGTACCTTCTGTTCTCGTGGTGGTTCTTCTTATCTTTTTTGTATTACTATTCATAGAAATGAGCATTTTGGCAACGACACGAATTTTTTTTTTGTTGAAATTTTGTTTTGTGAATTTCCAAATACTAGGACTAAAGCTACTTGGTTTAAGGGTCAGCGCTGAGTACATAGTATTATAAGACGTCTAGTGTTTTTTATTTACACTAATTATATTACCATCCAAATGTTTACATCACATTAATTAAGTACAATTAATTTTAAATTGTAATTAATTAATTAATCGTCTGGAAGAGATTAAGGAATTGGGGCCCCATTTGTTAAATAATAAATTCCTGTAAACATTGTATCATCTTGACTGCAATAAAGTATATTATTATTAATTTGATTAGTAATCAAATCTTACTAAACAGAAACGACCTTGACTCTTTTTTCGCCGCTTCTATGAATATTTCATAACGAATTCGGCTTTTCAAGGCCACGCTTTCGGTATTCGGGTCAGGCACCGCAGAATGCAACGAGCATAAGTGGGACAGCAGACGTAACACCGGTCACGCAACGTGGGTCATTCTTGGCTAGTCACGCATCCGTATAGATAGTTTACTTACCACTATTACGATTAACAAAGTTTTTTACATACCAAGAAGCATTATTCATGCATGTCGCAAGAGTCCAGGAGCATGGCGGAGAAATGACCACTATTTGTGACCCTGTAAAGACATCACGAGCACAAGTATAACATTATGGTATAACATCACATCGTTGAATCAAATTCAGATGAACCAATATATTTCGCTTTTAAAAAATATAGGTAACAAAACAATTCGATGTTTCTTCATTTTTTCCGATAGGTTATTGTTATGCTACCGCTTATAAGTACTTAATTGGATTAGTTACTTTACTATTGTGATGCAATAGGTGCACTAAAAGCAGTATCATCATGAACTTATGTCCTCACTACCGGGTCACAACTATTCCATATGAATGAATCATACAAAGACAATGGACTTTGACTAACGTGATAATTTTTTTCTATGGATAATAACGGAATATCAATTTTCACGAATATCGATTTCATGAAAAACTTGCAGTAGGTGCAAAGTTAATCCCAAACTAATTGGAAAAACTAACGAATTTCGTATACAAGAAACCAGTCCTAATGCGGTTATTTCCCCATGCTCTTCCTCGCTAAGGCAAAGAACAGAGTGAAGTCAAAAGCCAATTATTGAAGGTAAAAGCCAGCGCATATTTTTTTATTAATCCTTCCAGAATAGGGAGGAACTCAAGATGATAGATTCACCCATCCTCTTGCTGGTACTTGTAACAGTTGCTTCATATCACCGATCGAGCGCGATACCCATTATGTCATTTAGCTCCTAATCACTGTTTTTTAATCGTGTGGTATGGTGTAATAATTATATAAAACGTGAACTAATAACCTAAAAAGTCTATTAATACAGCCCCAAATCAAATTGGTTCCATATATTGTTTAACTAAAGATTGAAATTAATTATAATTAGGTAACTAATTCTTAAATGACTTCACTAAATATTTTAATTAACTTGTACCGTTTTAAATAATGAACGGTAACGTGGCCGTAGACATAATTAAATGCAGGCTTAAACAGACTTCTATAACTTATTCGCGAGAAGGGTCTCATAAAACCCTATTGTGTTTTAAAGTGGAAACGCTTGATTTATTATAGTAATTTACAGCATTTCCTTCTTAATTGTCCATGAAGCATGGTATTTCACGTTTTGGCTATTAATAGTAAAAGTGAATAGTTATAACAATCTTTACGAAAAAATACTTATTAAAATACTTTTGAATCGTCCAACATTTTTCCCCACCACTCGTTCAGAATGTCTTTTAGCTGATAAGATAAACGAGCAAGAAACTCACCAGCCTTAATGGGAGCAATAATGACATTCATAAAAACCATGTCATTACCAGATAAATACATTAATGTAAAAGTAATCTATGGAATATTAATAGAAATTTTAATATTTTATTATGGTCTATCTTTTTTATTTCATGCTATTCTAAATTTTTTCCTGCGATTGCACTCGGGTGAATTATAGCCTATGTTACCCGTGTAAGATGTAGCATCCCATAGTTCAAAGAATTTATAAAATTGGTGCAGTAGTTTTGGAGCGTTTTCATTGCCTACAAACAATCGTTTTTATAATATTAGCGTAGTTTATAACAATGTCAATACATATATAAGTGGCCCTTTACCGCTAAGTGGCTTAGCCAGATCAAAGGTGTCGTCCATTTTAAGGTTTTGTGTTCAATTCTAGCTAGGTGTAGAAAATTATCTTTTTATATTTTTGGGTTGTTACAATATTCTTTGTTATTTCAGCGTTTATCATGCAAAATTTTCTTTCCTAACTTGGAATATTGCTTTAATTCATAATGTAGACAAACAAATAAAAAATCTTCTACAACAAATAAATATGTATCTTAATTCCATTAAATTTGATATTTATTTGTCTTTTTAATGGCTTATAAATGTTTCTTACGAGTACTTGACACACAAAAAAACTCAATAAAAATGTTTACATTACAAGAAAATATTTAATAAAAATATATCAATGTCTGGGTGACTACTATTGCGATGTTAACGTCCTAGGTAAGCCGGCGTTATGCAATACCGCAAGCACTTTCACCGTTCTAAGCTCTTAAAACTATCAGACAACATTAAGCTTTGTGCCACAAGAATAAGAATGAATTTCTTTTATCATCACGACTCCATCTCTTACTGAGATAATTTGGAAACGTTGATATAAAAATGAAATCTATGTTGTTGCAATACGATTGTATTTTGAATGTCATTATTGTTTACAAGTTAACGTTGGTATTGTATTGACGTACAGTTCCGTATTATTACGGTTATTTCGATGTCAATTCGTAAAGTAACATAAAATTTTAGTATCCATTTATGGTGTAGATATTTTACTTATATTCCATACTAATAATTTTTTAAAAGGTTATATTTTTCGTAATTGCTTTAGACTGATAAAATTGTCTGTATGACATTTGACGTAATATTAATTTCCTATCTAAGGTAGAAGACTGATTTTGGCCACTGCCCTCTTTTTGGCCATTTAGTATTTCAAAGCGGTGTAACTAACTTATTCAATATATTGCTTTACCGTGAACTGGTTTTAAAATGTTGCATATTGCAAAAACGACTATCGTGCACAGCTGCGATGTGTCAACGTTCACTTCCTCGTAACCAGGTCAAAATCTTAAACTGTCCAAAACTAGCTAGGTTTTCACGTTATCTTTACTATATTTTCTCGGGTTTTAGTAATTGATGGGTATTGACGACTAAAGATGCAATCGAGCAGTAGCATTACATTACGAAGCACAGTAAAATTCAAGATTTTTACCCGTCCCATGACAGACCCTTCAAAGTTGTTTAATCTCCGCAATCGCAGACCAAAAGCGCTAACTATTGCGTCAGTGAACTCCTCTATTATGTCGCTTTACATTATTTCCACATATTTCTTACAGTATTTATTTACCTTACCAAAATTTGAGGTGGATTCATTTCAAAAATGTATTCCTGGCATATAAGCAAAAATTAAAAAGAAAGAGGAATAAACGAAATGCCATTACATAGACAATAAAAGGAGAATTTATTTTAAATATATATTTTTATTTCTTTTCAGCCAGTACAAACGGTCGCCGGAACAAGCCAAGGAGTTCTACCTCCTCAGTGTTTTCTTAGGAGACATCGTGGGATCCCCACAATTGTGTCATCAAATCGGCAAGAGAAGAGGCTGTGATGAGGCTCAGTTACTTGTAGTTTGAACATAAATATTTGTAAAAAAATACTATGCTATGTTATTTAATACAATGAAATGTTCTCATTGCTAGAAATTAAGTAGTGAAAAATTGAAGCGTTATAATCGATCGAAGGTGATAATAATCTATCACCATCAAAGGCAGAATACATTCTAATTATAGTTACCACGTTAGTGTGAAAAGAAGATAGTTTTAATTAGATGCGCCAAGGCTAGACCAGAGCGCAGTCTTAAAAAAGGGAAGTAATCTTTACATTCTTCAAAATCTGAGTAACCAAAGGCTGCAGTGGATTGAAATATATAAGTATATTTCGGTAATCACGTTGTTACAAGCTGTCAAACAAGAATAAAGGGAAACATAATAAACAATGTAATACAATTTAAATTCAAGAAAGTTTACAAAACATTGCCAGTATGTGATTAATTTAAAAACAGTTTTTATCTACACATGCGAATATACCTTTTTTGCTCGTGTACTTAATTAAAAAATACTCTGCTGATATTAGTAGTTTAATATTCAAATGGCTATCAAAAACCATACGAAATATTACAGATATCTAAACATTCCGAATTTTCGTTTGAGAATAAATAGAATGAGTGAAACTCGTACAAATTAACATAAATTAATGTATCATGTTAATTTTTACGAGTTTAATATTGAAATACTGATCTCGATCTGCGATACAGTTGTTGAGTAAATTTCGCAAAGGCCGGTCATAGGATGGCTGGCCAAAAATATGTTATCTCGAACTCCTCCCTGCTTTGGAAGGTAAATTAAGCCGTTGATCCCGACTGCTCTGTAGTCGATAACAACCACCAATCCGCACTGACCAGAGTCCATCCTTAAAGCCTGAGTCCCAGCAGAGGAGACATTGGTGACGAAGGGTATATAGGTTTTATTTCATTGAACCTCTATGCTGTGGTAGCGCTTTTCTCGACGTAATTTTCGAGGATGATTATATAAGAGAATAGCATAGCTCTTTTATTTATTCTTTTCGTATCAAATAGCCGCCTCGAATGCGAGTGCTTCACTCAGAACCACATAGATTAATCGAGGTATACTTTGTTTTATATAGGAATGTAAATAGCTAAGAGAATAAACGTTAGTCCGTAGGCCACTCAAGACATCAAATCATTTCATAAGAGTTAAAGAAATATATGGGATGGAATTCATAACACTTCGCTAAACAGGATCCCAATTTTGCTAATTTTTAAGTAATAATAGAATTTCAATTACTTAAATTTTGCTATAATACTATCAAACTGAAGTCAAATATTATTATTGCAATGTCTTTTTCACAGATCAATCGTGACAGATAAAATTATTATTTTGATATCAAGTAACAAGCCTGTGTTATAAAGGGTTATAGTTGAAGTGCTATTGACTTTCAATAATTACACTAACATTAGCAGAATTGCCTTCTGGCCACTGCTCAGCTTAGAGCATTTATGATATGATAAATATTATTTTTTATCTCTAAATATTTGGTGCGTTTCGTTAATAAATTCATTTAACATTTCAACGATCAATCAAGCATGTCATTCTATCCATCAAAAAGTCGGTACAATTTTAATAAAAACATCTTATAATAAAAAAAAAAATAGGACATTATTAAATCAATCCATTATAAAAATTCTACCCGCATTAAGTTACCTCCCTTGTGATAGTTTATTTTTAAAGTAGATTAAGTTTTCGAACTTTTTTCTTCAAAGTTAATTCCAAAAAAAGGATCCTTAACCTTTTTTAAGCCGTGAATTCTTCCATTTAGATGCCACAGGTGTAACTATAATAGGAAATATTTTATTATCATATTAGGATGGTCTTTGATTTCTAATTCAACTTTATATCAATAGAATAAAAGTTATTTTGATACATACTTGTATATTATCCGATATACCGAATAATACGAATTTGTTGTCTCGTATAATCCTTAGTGATAGTTAATAAGGATTATCATACACAAGTCATTTGTGATTATTATATATTGTGTTGAAATCCATTTATATTAACCATTTTTGCAGCTTCGTTTATTGTAGAGTTCGTTTCCAAAGAATTTCAAAATTGTGTCCTTTATTCATTATTATTTCAGTGTTGTAAATAAGGTACGTTTAAGAATGTTTGTGATTTTTTTATATTTTTATGGTAACATTACCAATTAAGATTAGGACAAAGATATAATGTTTTATATAATTTTTATTAGTGTAGAATATACCTAAGAATAAAATAAAGAGAATGTTTTTGAATATACACTTTGATTTTTAATACCCAAAAAATCAGATATTGATAACAACGTATTTTTAAGAAGAAACCTTATTTATTATTATTTTCAAGAAACGAAAAGTTTGCAACAAGAAATGCAGCTGCGCGCGCTCATAGTTATTTATAACTTATTATAAGTAAGTATGAGTATGATCTTATTATAACATTGCTTACATGAACTGGAGTGCGACCGCTTAGCTCTCTAACCATAGGATTCAACATCTTAACGATGTTTCATTTTACTACTATGATATGTCTTTTAATGAAGTAATTCGGGATAAATCACTAAGTTGGTAACACTGTTGTCAAATTCGTAATCATCATTCTTTATCATTCATTCGTCGTTATTAAACTATATGTCAAAGTAGGAAAATAAGATGAAATATCGCCATGACATGCAGTCAGATGTCGTATCCTATATATTACGAGGGTTAGGAGGTAAACATGGTTGCACGTCAGACTATATCAAGTTTTCGCTATTGATTTTGTATTCTACTCTCAAGATAATAAGGTTTTAAATAGAGTAGAGGAATATGTCAGTTTTGTATAACCTGACATGCTGCCTGTACATAAATCGTAGACTGTCATGTTTACTGTAAGCTATATACAAATATATATGTGGGAAACGGAACGGTAGGTTAGTATGAAAGAGATAGTAAGTTGAGTGTATGCGTGAGGAGTGAAAGAGATAGAAAATAATTTAAAATAAAGTATGGAAGGTGATCGAGCGAGGAGAACGATTTGAACGACAATACGGTGTGCATGTGTTTATTTTTAATTAAGAAGTGAAAGGAGTTAAAATAAACGACGATTTGCTGTAATCCTTCTGTTTTATTCCGCCAATCCCACATATATACATTTTATTTTCAAACATATTAATTATATAATAACATATAATTACAATATACCATGGAACCATGAAAATTGAAAACAATATAATATTATAATACATATTGAAGATATTGTAAGCATAACGAGGTTTTTATACTCACTGTTACGTAGAATTCTAGTCATTAAATAATTAAAATGTAATAAGAGTTATTTACATTATTATCCTATAATCTACTGTAAGTTGCCGAGGTAAGGTTCTTATTTACGTTCACTGTCTTGGTTGCTTTAAAGAAAAAAATTACGTGCGAATATGTGAACTAACTTTAAGCAAAAGTATTTATTGAATATTTTGAAAAGATACGTTTTTGGAAGGGAAAATTAAGAGAAACTTTGAAAAAGCTAATAATTTAAATCAATAACTGATGGCTGAACTATAATTTATTCTGTGACAATTTCGAGGGATACGGTTAAGAAAAATATTCTCTCATCTGTTATATATTTGATTATGATATTGCGATAGATTTTAAAATTATACTTGTTGACCACTGGTCAACAATATTAGGGTGTTCACTATGCGACATCTTAAGTATCAATTCCCTTCATTAAATCGAGCGTAAACGAGAAAACACGTCCAAAATAAAAAAATAAAGTTGCGTTTCATGTATAGCGTATCTGTGTACGATTATCTATAATTGCGCTATGAGAGATACAGACCTATCATATTGAAAAAAATGGATATAGAACCAAAGTATTATGTGAGTGTTAAAACGATATAAGCTGTTACCAAACCCATGTATTATTTCTAAAAATTACCGCGTTTTATTGTACAAGTCGGGTCAGCGACCTATGGCATATATGAATGAATGTATTATTTATAGAACACAGCAAAATATAGCAAAAGAATTGAATGAATGAATATATATATATATATATATATAAAACATAAATATGAAAACTAATATGATTAGAAACATCGATGCAAAAGGCGGTCTTATTGCTAAGGTAGCATTCTCTATCAGGCTACCCTTGGCTAAAAAATGGACCAATGATTAGGTACAGTTTCATATAGGACTTGGGAATATCAGGGTGGTGTGTCCGAAAGGCTCTAGCTCGACATACGCCACAGATGATTAAGCGTCGATTTTCAGCTGACGCTTAGGTTGTTTACATTATTACTTATATATCGTTATACAAAAAAACGATGCAGTACTATATGGACTATATGGATAGCGACAGGTATCTTTTGATTTCAAAGTTTACGTAATACTTTAGGTCACTTTCTATTATTACCACTCCAAACAAATGGGCCAGTGTCTAACAGACAAACGACCAGTGGAGATACTTAAATAAGATTAGAGATATTATAATGAGATAATCCTTGTTTACTGCGCAACAAAAGTAGAATATAAAAATAAACAATAATCAACATGATAATGTACTTTCTATTTTTCTCCAAATTTGAAGAAAATATAAATGCCTTTAAAAATAATTAAGATCATACTCTAACATATCAAGTTTCAAATTTCAATGAGAGATAAATAATTGAACACCATTATCATCCTATTAACGTCCCACTGCTGGGGCTCAGGCCTTCCCCGTGAAGGAATCGAATCGAATAGGGAGAATGGGTCAAGACCCTGCGTGGTGGCACTCATTGCGGATTGTTAGGTGTTAACGACTGCAGAAGCAGCCGGGACCATTTGCCTTCCAAAGCAGGAAGTAGCTGGAGATAATAAGTTTTTGGTCACCCATCCTATAACCAGCCCTTGCGAAAGTTGCTTAACGACCGTATCACGGACCGATCGCGCTAAACACTGCGCCATTGAGATTTTAAAGATATAATTACTAACGAACTATACGACTTTTATAAAGATATATAATTAATACCATTAGAATAACATATTTCAAATAGCACA